CAGCGTGAAGCCTGCTTGAGATTCTCTCCCTCCGCCCCTCCCACTCATGCTCTCTCTCTCTCAAATAAATAACTCTTAAAATAGCAAGGGAAAACCCACGCAGATAAAACCGCAATCCTAGCGTTTTCAAAGGACCTGGACCGTAGAGAGACCCCTGAGAGACAGGAAATGAGCGGGTGAACCCCGCGATTGCCCCCGTTGGCTGCCTCGAGGGAGTTTCCAGGCTGCCGTGGAGGGAGGGGAAACCAGGCCGGCCCCAGGGGAGTCCCTGAGTTGAGGAGATGGCACTGAGGGTCCAGGGACACTAAGGAGGTGAGGGGTCAAAGGACAGAGTGCCGAGGAAGAGAACACAGCGAGAGAATGCTGGAGATCTGCCAAGGGCGTCCCTGAGCCATCGGCGTGCACACCGGCCTCGAGCGTGGCAGCACCTGAAACCGAAGGCAACCGTGTGCACGTGGGCGTGTGTCCATTTTCCGGGCTGCGGAGCTGCCACTTTTATCGGTTCCTCAAAGGGTGACTCCGCCCGGTTAGATCCGTGCTTCTCGGAGAGAGCACAAAGGGTGCACGGAGCGGGCAGGACATGGGCTGGGCCTGGGGCTCAGTGTGCGGGAGCCCCCAGCCCCATGCCCAGCTGGCTCGATGTCCCAATCCAGGGAGACGGCTCTGAGCGTGAGCCCAGGGGGCCGTGATGCGGGTGCCCAGGCCTATGGTGGGCCTCAAGGAGCACCACGGAGCACGGGCTCCCCAAGCCAGTGACGGCACAGCTGGGGGAAGCTCTGAAATACTAAAACAGGGAACACCAGGAAAATGCAGAGTTCCGGCTGGTAAGCGGAGTGGGGCTCGAAACCGTGGGTCCTCACTTGTAACCGCGGGGGCGTCCCTGAGGAAGAGTTGTGCCTCTTGGTAGACCAAAGCCCCCAAGCCCAGACCCAGCCGGCTGCCTGGGGAGCACAGACCAGCCCCTCCACCTACACTGAGTGGCCTGACCTCACAACCAGGCACCCACCTATTACCAGTACGGGCTTTACAGTGACAGAGCTCCCCACCAGCCATTTGCTGGTCAGGCCTCCCAGGAACCGTGGGCAGCAGGACGGACAGGCGCCATCTGCCCCCTGGATAGATGAGGACACTAAGATCCCCGGATCACTTGCTGGGAAGTGAGGCCAAGACTGGCGTCCGGGCCTCCTCCCTGCCCGCGGGGCTCTCCCAGTCCACGCGCTCCCAGCTCTTGCAGCAGAAAGAAGCTGATCGGCCTCCTCAGGCAGCCTGGCTCCTTCCTACCCCACGTTTTCCAAGGGCGAGGGAGGGAGCAGTGTGGACTGCAGGACCCAGACCCCAGTGGCTCCCCGCCCCTCATCTGAGCTTGCACGGGGCTTGGCTCATTCCTGTCACATCTGTCTTTTATACCTCCAGGGCGCCCCTAGCACATAAGGTCGTGTTATTTCTATTTTCCGCTCAGATTCTCTCCTGTCAGACTCGTAAGAAACTCAGCCCTTCCCTCTGCGGTTCCTCCTCTTTCCCTACAAATTGTGCTAAACCTCTTGGGTCTTAGCGAGCCCAAATGGGGATCTTTCCAACCGCACTCCCCCGGGGGCTGAGCCAGGAAGTCCTAACCGAGCTGCTTCTATGATGCTTGCTGCCAAGTGGTATCACTGTTGACCCCTGGCCACAGGCGCCTGACGCGGGCAGAAGCCTGGGTCTTGGAAGGACAGCCCTGTACCCTTGGTGCCACAAGAAACCACACGCGCTTCTGTGTGGCCACCCCCCAGACCCCAGCTCCACGGGGTATCCGTCAGATGGTCACCTCCTAAAGACTTAAAATAAGTGTCACCTTTCCTTCCCAGGGTCCACACCCCACAGAAAAGGCAGCTTTTCCTTTCCAACTCTGGAAACTGACGATTTCATCACAGAAAATAGAGCCCTACACTAACCTGTTAAGTTCGGATTGGTCCCCAGGGGGCCCAGATGCCAGCACACTGAAGGGCTGATTTCGTGTTGCCTCCTTCCTAGAGGAGGGCGCTGGCCTTCAGAGCCTCAGATGTGGTTTATCCTCCCCAGTGCACCCCAGAAGGCTTTTCTCCTGCCTGATTATTGCCAGAACAGAAGGACCTCCACCCCCACGGGTTAGACCTCCAGGGGGGCAATGGCTACTCTTCTCTGACAACCTCTCCCCTCTCCGGAGTGAAGACGTGCCTACAGCTGTGCCAGCAAGCACGAACTGGGCATCGAGCTGAGGGCCGGGCTCACAGCAGGGACTCGGGAGACGGGGACGCAAGTGGCACTGAGCAGAGCCTCTGCGGGGGGGGGGGGGGCTTACGGGGGGGGCAGCACAGCCCATCGGGACGTGGCTCTAAGACTTTGAACCATCAAGGGGCGCCTGGGCGGCTCAGTTGGTTAAGCGTCCGACTCTTGATTTCGGCTCAGGTCATGATCTCACGGGTCGTGAGGTCGAGCGCCGCATCAGGCTCCGCGCTCAGCCGGGAATCTGCTTGAGCTTCTCTCCCTCTGCCCCTCCTCTCTCTCTCTCTCTCAAATAAATAAATAAATAAGACTTTGGCCCATCAAAGGGCACTGTCTGGCGTGGCTCTGGTCCTTCCCCAGGGAAACGGCCACGACGTTTCTCCGCGCCGGCATGGAGTGTGTTTCCTGGCTTCCTGGCACTCTGCAGCCTCTCAGAGGAGCGTGCCCCCCGCAGAAACCAGAAGATGCACTTCCAGTGCTCAGGCCGTCCCAGACCTCCGTAGGGGTCGGGTCGTTGCCACTTTCAACTCTGAGGCCTTTTCCTTCCTGCCTCCCGTTGAGCCGCCTCCCTCCCCGTCTGGGAGCAGGTCCCGCACTCAGCTCCGGAGCAGAGGGCTGGGGCTCAGGGGGTGCGCACGGAGCTGCCCCGGGAAGGGCTGGAGCGGTGAGCGGCCGCCGCGGGCCGTCAGCCCCCGTCTAGTGGTCCCGGGCCTTCCCCGCTGCCGCCGCCCCTGGACCAGCCCCCCCGCCCGGGGCCCACCTCACGACTGGCACACACGGCTTTAGGCTTTATCTGGCCGGTCACCATTCAGAAGACACTTTCCTGAATTCAGGGAATTAAAAAAAAAAAAAAAAGACCCAAGAACAACTGCTTTGCTTTGATGACATGCACTCACTTTGACCTCGACAGAGACTGGAGTAACCACAGGACGAATTCTTCTTTTTCTGAACACTTTTATCTCATGAATTGTTGTATGAGGTTTCCACTGGAAAATGCGGGAAACTGGCTGAATGTGTTCCATTTTAACAAAATAATGATGTAAAACTGTAAACATTTTACGTCATTAAATTCAAGGCCTGATCTGTCTGGTGGTGAGAAAGAAAATATTAACTGCTTTTAAGAGAAATATTTGTATTTTTCAAATAGTAATGGCTTTCCTCTTTGATCGAAAGAAATGATTTGGGCTCAGATGGGGAGTAGCTCTCGCTTTGAGGGGTTTCGGAGCCACTCCGTCGGCGACCGTTGTCGGAAGGCTCCATGCGCCATCCTCCAGCTCGGCAGTAAGAATCTCCCAGCAATGGAACACCTATCAAAGGCTGCCTTGCCAAGAAATAAAAGTTCATGGAAACACCCGTTTGCCTGTGACGACAGCAGGCCTGTGGGTCTGGGGACAGTGCCAATGGGCCCTGCATCTGTGTCCCAGAAGCTCTTGCATCTTGCAGGCAACGCCAGGGAGGCTCTGTGTTGGTGGTAACTGTGACAAGCTGAGACCTATTCTGGCTTTGGCAAAAGGTGACATCACACCCACGTGCCCCTTTGTTCTGACGCCCTCCCAGCTGCTCCTGAGGGGCCTGCCACCTGGCCCCCGAACCGCACGCCAGCCAGAACCTTCTTCCAAGGCCAGCCACGCCTGCGCCCCAGCAGGAGTCCCGCCTTCCAGTCAGCCTGTGGCTCCCCTGGCCCTGCCTTGGACTCACAGACATCCCTGGCAAACTGGCTTTCTCATCTGTCCGCTGGGAACGTTTCCGGGCTCTTCTGGCCTCAATGCGGTGACATTGTACCTTCTCCCAGGTGGGACGAGAGTAAACCAGTCCCATCAGGCTGGTGAGAGCAGGTGTTCCTCAGGACCTCCTCCAGGTGGGGCCGGGGTGCCCCCCCTCCCCCCCGGGGCACAGAGCTGCCTCTGCAGCTGCAGCTGCAGCACAGCAGAGATCAGGGAAGCCTGGATTGTCAGGGCTGGAATACCTGGAAGAGCCTCCAGGACTCAATTTCTAGAGAGGGAAACTGAGGCCCACAGGGTGAAAGTGGCTGCATGTTAGTTAACTGAGGGCTCCAGCTCCCAGTCCTGTGCTCTCCGCCCATCACACCTGCCAAGGAGGGGAGCAGGCCTCTCTCCAGGGAGGCAGGCGGGCTGTGGCTCTCAGCAGCCCCAGCGCCAGGAAGGAAGAGTCGGGTACGGTCTAAAGCTTAGACTCAATCCTTCCTACCCCGAGCGAGGCTGGGGGTCCAGGAGCTCGGGTCTCACCTGGGGGCTGGTTAGAAATGCACACTCTCCGGCCCCGCCCCAGAGCCCAGAACCATAATGCAGGCATCAACATCTCCAGGCAGTTGCTGTGCACAACCAGGGATGTGTTAGAGGCCCCAAGGGAGCCAGTCTGGGCCACACTCAGCTGATGAGCTGTCCCCAGTCCCAGTGCAGAGAGGGCCATCCTACAGGGGAAGCATTTCAGGCTCCAGGAGAAGCCCGCAGACAAGCCCTCCGCAGAGACTGCGAGAGGAGTAGCTGGGAGAGCGCCTGCGCATGCACCGGGGGCGGGGCGGGGGGGGACTGCACCTGTGCCTGCCTTCACACCTGGGTCTGCACAGCTGACCACCGCTTGCCAGCAAACTTGAAGCCGGATCTTTTGAAAGAACCAGGAGTAACTGCATGTTGGAGGGGGCTCAGCTCCAGCCAGAGCCTGGGCAGAGTGTGGGGGCGGGGGTGCAACCCCAGTCTGGTCAGGGGGAGCAGGGGGCCTGCAGGGCACCTCCAGCAGCCTCAGCGACAGTACTCCTGCTCGATGCTGGCCATCAGCTCCTCTTCCGAGTAGTCGTACGAGATGGCCGAGATGCCTGACTGCCTCTCGGGCCTCCCGTGGCTGCCGCCCGGGTTTCTGTGAGCCAGAAACACGGACAGGGGTGTCAGGAGACAAGGGGTCACCTTCAAACTCGTCATGTCTACAGTGGCCCCTTCAGGGACTTCTGATTCATCCTTAAACCAAAACCGAAAACCTTTGCCCTGGGGAAACCTTCTTAATCTTTTATAAGAGCGGGCCTCTGCCTATTTCTCTGGCTTCATTGCCTATGACCTTGTCCGCCCAGACCTTACGTACCCTGCGAGGAAGCCAGCCCCTGGGGCGTTTCAGGGTCAGGGCCCTCAGGGTGGAAAGGTCTGAGTTCGAATCCCAGCTCTGCCACTTACTAGTGCTGCAACCTTGAACAAGGCATTTGCACCTCTGAGCATCAGTTTTTTTTACATCTGAAGTGGAGCTGTATTCATAAGTTCATTCTGGGGCATAAATAAGATAATGCACAGAGAGCATGTGACACCAAGTCCTGCACGCTGCACAGCCCTAAGCAAATGTGAGCTCTGCATTGCAAGCTACCCATTTGCCTGATTTACTCGCAGGGCCTGCACCCTTGGGGGCGCTGAACAGAGTTGCTGCTGCAGGACAGGACTGGGCATGGCAGAGTGACCAGAATCAGACCCTGTTCCTGCTGCCCGGGCTCCACAAAGTGGTTCCCATCAGCCTGCACCTGGTGGCCCACCCGCTCTCCAACTTTCTGGACATCATAGGGACTTTGGGGTGGTGTTCACAGTACCCCGAACTTCCCTTTCTTTCAGGCTGCTCCCTGGCAGTGTTGCCTGGCACCGGCCTTGGCCTGCCCAGAACCTTTGACAGCTGGGGGGGTGTGGGCGTGGGTCAGGCTGCGTGCTACTAGCTGGAGTGGATGCGAGGTCCGCAGCCCAGAGCTGCCCACCGCCGGCTGTGGGACAGTGACCTCCCACGGCCTGCTCTGCGGTGCTGGAGAAGAGGCCCGCACTGCTCTGCCGCTCAGTCCGCTGGGGCGACTTCCCCTCGCACCTGTGAACTCAGGGAGCCGGGATGGGGGATCCTCAGCGGCAGGTGCAGACAGGAGCCACCAGCATCACCAGGCGTCCCCTCCATGCGCCCTCAGCTTCTGTTACCCAATTCTGGGACCTCAGGCCAGCCCTGTCCTCAAAGCCAGCCCGACCAGTTCAGCCCTGCCGTTTCCATGTCTCCCTGCCCTTGCCCCTCAGGAGAAAGATGTAGATGTCATCAAGGTTGATCAGGACTCCGGGGCCCCTGGGTGGCTCAGGCAGTGAAGCGTCTGCCTTCGGCTCAGGTCATGATCCCGGGGTCTTGGGATCGAGCCCCGCATCGGGCTCCCTGCTCGGCGGGGAGTCTGCTTCTCCCTCTCCCTCTGCCCATCCCCCCTCTTGTGCTCTCTCTCTCTCTCTCTCAAATAAATAAATAAAATCTTAAAAAAAAGAAAGGATGATCAGGACTCGGGGGTCAAGGCCCACATGGCCCCAGTTCACATCAAACGTTCCTTTCAACAAGCATCTATGAGACACCTACTGTGTGCCCAGTGCCGTGAGGGACCAGACCTGAGGAGTCAGGTGCCCGCGCTGCCTTTGTGAGGCTGAGTGAGGCTGGGAGCAGGACTGCCTTACGGGTCACGGGTGTGGAGGCTGGGTGCCGACAAAGTGGGGCGAGACCCCAGCTTGACGAGGAGGGAGGGGAGGGCGAGAGTTTGGGGGAAGAGATTTTAACCGGGCTTGGAAGGATTTTTCTCTTTAGCATTTTATCACAAAGACTCCCAAGCATACAGAAAGGTTGAAGTTGTAGATTCAACAATTAAGTAAATACACACTTTTTTTTTTTTTTTTTGCTGTATTTACTTTATCACACATCTACTTCATCTGATTTCTGGAGGTATTTCAAAGTAAACTGCAGATGTTAGGATATTTCTCCCAAAAATGCTGCTCTGCCGGGTTCTGACAGCAGAGCCGGGGGGTAGGGGAGGAGGCCAGGAAGGAAGGGGGGCCGCTGCCTCTGAGATCTGCGTGGGGGTTGGAGGGAGAAGGGCCACGGAGGGCCCGGAGGCGTGGGGGAGCCACGGCAGATGTGGGCCAGGAGGCCTGCTGCTCCCTCCCTGCAGGGGCTCTCCTTAGAGGCCGAAGAGCCCAAGTTTGGGGACCAGAGGAAGGCTGCTCCAGTCCTGACCCCGGGGAGCGCGAGTGCGCCCTCAGAGCTTGCCTCCATGGCCCTCTCCTCCTTCCCGAGGCAGCAGGGCGGACTGCTGGAGCCTGACAGAGCCTCCCATGAAAGCAGGTGAGCCAGGGAGGGTGGTGAGGAGTCTGAGGAGCCTCCTGGAGTGTGCAGGGAGCAGAAGGGGCCCCTTCAGTTAAAAAGCAGAAGAAATAGCTAATTGATTCCAGGTAGAATTTAACCCTTCTAAATTCCTTGGGTTGATGAAAACTGGAGAAAGTCATGCTAATTCTCTTTAAAATCAGTGGAAACAGTCAGCCGGAGCTGAGCTGTGCGCCGTTCCTGCCGCGGGGCCCACAGGCAGATGTGTCCCCAGGTCCCCAGCACAGAGCTGCAGGCTCGGGCGTCTGGGTCGGCCCAGCAGAGCCGGCCGGGGCCCCTGGGGTGGTGGCTGCCGTGGGACCCCGTGTCCTCCCTCGCACCCGAGACCACCCCCCGCCCCAGGCGCCGAGTGCCAAGCCCACCCCCAGTCCGTACAATGAGAGGAGGAGGGTCTGAGGGAGGACCAGGGTTCTCCGCGATGCTGAAGAAGGCTCTGGGCCCGGACCGCTGGTGCCAGGGTTGTAAGCATTCCCACTGCTTCACCCTCTACACCAGCGAGGAGTCCTAGCCTGCTCCCACTCGAAAGCGGTGGCCAGTGGCTACAGCGTGACACTTAGCGCCTTCTCCACCTCGGGGAGCTTCCGGCTTTCGGTGACCCCCAGGGCCCTGTGCTAACCGCCACCTGCTGGCGCACAGCCCTCAGCTGGAAATGCTGCCAGGGATGCTCCTGCCTCCTATCTCCTCGGTGGCCTCCCACGCGGCCTTCAAACCAGTTTAACCCTTACCAGCTCCTCTGTGAGCCCTCAGGCCGCTCCTGTCCCCTCTCTAACCTCCCCTGAGCCCACCGTCTGCACTTGTGAAGAGACCAAGCTGCTCAGGGAAGGACCCCTGCAAATGTGTGTTCAGTAAGGGAAACCAGCAAGCTTCTTGCCTGAAACCTTTTGGAATTGGTCATAAAAGCAGCTAATACGCTAGAAGTTTTACACCTATTCACATCCGTGGTCCTGAATATCAGAGTCACCCACATCCCAGGGACGGGGCAGATCACTGTCATCCCTTTAGAGGTAAGGAAGCCAGGAGGGGGGTGCCTGCGTGGCTCAGTTGGTCAAGCGTCTGCCTTCGGCTCAGGTCATGATCCCAGGGTCCTCCGATCGAGTCCCGCATCGGGCTCCCT